ACTAGTAAGTGGGGTTATTTGTTTTTGTTTGTTTTTCTGGCTTATCGAGACAAGGTTTCTCTGTATAGCCCTGGCTGTCCTGGAACTCCCTCTGTAGACCAGGCTAGCCTCAAACCCAGGGATTTTGACCAACTCTGCCTCCTGAGTACTGCATTAAAGGCCTACAGCACCATACTCAGCTTAATAAATGCATTTTTAAAGTTTTGATAGATCAGCTAAAGAATAGAAACCAGATGTGGTGGCTCTCACCTGTAATCCCAGTCCTTGGGAGGTTTAGGCTAGAGGAATTGGAGGTGGAGGCCAACCTGTGCTACCTAGTTAGACATAGCCTCAAAATAAAAGAATGAATAAATACGGCTGAGGACAGCTCAGTGGAAGAGCACCTCCCCAGCATGTGTGAGATCCTGGGTCCATTCCTTAGTTCCACAGAAGAAAGACTGTAGAAAGTCCTTTCTGTGTTTTGTCTGCTTTATTGAGATGGTCTCCCTAAGAAGCTTTGCCTGACCAAGGAATAGGCACTCCTCCTGCCTCAGCTTCCCAGTTGGAGAAATCCAGGCATGAGCCACCAAGGTCAGCTGGCAATCCTCATTTTACAAAGGAAACCGACGCCAGGCTGTCTGCCATGCTCCATGAGTGCGAGCTTGGAGCCTGGTTTCTACAGATTCCTAGTTCTTGGTTGGAGCTATTTTTGCTGCTTGGATTCTGTGCTTCCTGGCTAAGAAGAGGGAGAAGTAACCAAAGGGAGAGAGTGGGAGCTGGGGAGCAGAGCCCCCCAGCCCAGCATTATGAGAGACTACCAACAGAGCACTCGAGACCAGTGTTTCGGAGATGAGGGCTGGGAAGTGGAGCACCAGGTGCAGCCCTGTGGTGACCTCGTTACAGGAACCATCTGCTGTAGCACATTCTCCTAAGATAGCTGGGGGGTGGGCATGGGTGAGTAGCTGGGCAGGGTTACATGGGTTTTTCCCTGGAAGCTGTATCTAGGAGAACCAATTCCACCTCCATCCTGGCCACGTTTTCGTGAGCCCCTCGGCCATTTTCTGTGACTCCCAGAGGCTTCCTCCAGCCATGAGAAGATGGGGGTAACATATCTCAGGGCTCAGCCAGCTGACACCTGTGACCCTTTGGAGAAACTGTCAGCCACAGAATGCAGATGACAGAACCCGCCCCCACCCCAACCTCATTCCCTTTAAAGAAAAGACTCCATCTTAGGGTGGGGCTCAGAAGGGAAATCTAGGCCCTTTGTTCTGTTTCCTTTGAGGAAGGGTAACAGCAGGGGCTCCAATGTGAACCCCAACACCTTGGCTTGACTGGGGATGTAGGGCAGAAAATTCTCTGACCCATGGAGCCCAGTAAACAAGTTCAGAGGTGGGAGGAGCGGTGGCCAATGGTCTGAATGCCCACAGGATAGCCTCCTGGTTGACGGGCTTGACCTTCGTTAGCCTCTAGTACATCTGGACAATGGAGAAGACCTCTAGGTCCAGGAGAAGGCAGGGATGGACAATAATCAGATGCCACTCCCCTCTCTTGGGCTATCTGTCATTCAAGCACTGCTACCTCGTGACAGCCAGGCTGTAAGTGGCCCCAGCAGTCCCACTTCCCGTGGTTCACGTCCTTATCGTGCCCCTTCCTATACCGTACCACAATTGGCCTGTGTGATCTGCAAAAAGGGCAGAAGGGGTGGCTGATCACTTTCAAGATCAGGGCATGAGAGGAATGCTTTTATCGGATCCATCCTGCCCGTCACCGTCACCAGGGAACAAGTCACAGCTGCCGTGCCACTAAAGGGGAAGAATTGAGGCTTCTGGCCCTTGGTTACCTGAGTGAGCCTTTTAGGAGGCAGATCCCTCAGTCCAGGCCAAGCTTGCCCTTAACCATAGCTCTGGCCACACCTTAAGAGCAGCCACATGATAGACCCTGTACCAGAACTATCCAGCTAACCTGATTTCTGGCTGTGAGAAGATTACTAAGTTTGGGGGTGATTTTTTTAAAAACGCAGCAATAGATAGTATATAATATAATAAACATAAAATAAATATAATAAACACATTTTGCTTCTGAGATGACTCCCCACCCACCCCCTGAAACTCCCTGAGCAAACTGCCTCCTCACATCCCTTCCCCTCCAGGCTCCCAGCCCAGGGCACTGGTTTATAGGTAAACTGGTAGGTTTCATATCTAATGCCATAAAAAAACCCAAAACAGACCAACAACCACTGGGGGACACCTAACCAATTAACCCAACTCCCAGAGACTTTAAAAGGGCACAGAAAGGGCTAGAAGTCACCCTGCTGGCTAGAGGGTGGGGTTTTGTGGGGAAGGAATGCGAGCAGGAACATCACCCCTAAGGAAGATCCCACAGTGCAGCACGGTTATACACAAGGTCCCAGCTCCTCTCCCTCCTTTCCATGTGAGACAGAGGAACAAGGTGGTCCTCCACTCTGTTCCCTCCATGAAAGAGCATGGGGAAGCCCCTGCATGAGCCCCCGTGAACCTATGACAACTCCTCTCAGAAACCCAAAGGGCATAGGTTATTTTCTAGTACAAAGCAAAAATGCCACCCACAGAACTTTCCAGGAAACCCCTGCCCTGTGAAAACGTGGCGGCTTCCACTGAGGCCATGGAAAGAAGGTCTGAGGCAGGGCTGCTGAGAAGCTACCTCAGCAGCTGCCTCTGGGCCTCAGTCAGTGACTCCTTCAAGTCTGGGGGAAGACCTGAGACCTCACACTGTGATGAGTATGGAGACCTGGGCGTTTGCCTCAGATAACCCTATTTATCGGGGACTTTAGCTCTGCGTAGGAGAGCAAATTATTGAACACAAGAGTAAGGGAGCCCGCAGGAGGCTCGTGGTGGCATATATACGCTGTGACCAGCACCCTATCAGGGGTTTGTGCGCAAACAGCTTAGAGATCTCTGTCTCTATGGAGACACAAGGGCCAGAGACGTGAGGACAGAGAATGGAAAGTAACGCTATTACTTTGTGTTGAGCCATAGGGAAGCAGGGAGCCCCTGAAGCCTGAATAACAAGCCATTTAAGGCAATCTGAAGTCCCGAGGCTTGTGGTTGGAACTCTTGAGTTGTTACAGGTGGAAACACAGTAGCACAGAAAGAAGGAACGGGGACAAACACACTGTAAAGTGAAGTCCTAAAGGGTCTTTGAAAGTCTCCTAACATGTATGTGGGGGGTGGGGATCTGAACTTAGGCCCTCACGCTTCCCATGCATTTACTGACAGCCCAGATCACTGTCCATTTATTTATTTATTTATTATTATTATCATCATGTATATGTGCATGGTGTGTCTGTGGGGGTGGTTGCCACAGCGTGCATGTGGAGTTCAGAGGATAACTCTGCAGAGTTGGTGGTTCCTTTCTTTCATCTTTACATGGGTTCCAAGCATTGGTGAATCAGGTCACCAAGCTTGTATGGCATGTTCCTTTACCCTCTGCCATATCTCACCGGGTCTATTAATGAAAATAATTGTTTGTTTGCTTTTTGAGACAGGGTCTCTCTGTGTAGCCCTGGTTGTCCTAGAACTTACTATATTGATCAGGCTGGCCTCAAACTCATAGAGACCCCCCTGCCTCTACCTCCCAAGGGTTGAGATTAAAGATGTGAAGGTGTGCCCCATGCCCAGGATGGTTTTTTTTTTTTTCATTAATTAATTTGTTTGGGGACTTTTTTTTTTTTTGAGACAAGGTTTCTCTGTGTGGTCCTGGCTGTCCTGGAACTCTGTAGACCAGCCTGTCCTAGAACTCACTCTATAGACCAGGCTGGCCTCCAACTCAGAGATCCACCTGCCTCTGCCTCCTGAGTGCTGGGATTAAAGATGTGCCCCACTACCATTCAGTAGTCTCTTAATCTTTGAGTCAGGGTCTGATGTAGCCTAGGCCGGCCTCGAACTTACTAGGAGCTGAATTTTTCAAATGCTGGAATTACAGGCAGGCACCTTCATATTCATTTTGTTAAAGATGGGGTTTCACTATGTTCCCATGTGTGTTCAACACTCCTGGACCCAAGGGGATCCTCCTGCCACAGCCCCCCATGTAGCTGAGACTGCCTCTGTACCTGGCCATTGTCCCCCTTAACAGGTTAGGAAAGGAAAGGTTTGAAGAGGTTGGCAGTAGAATGAGAGGACCTATGACTCCACAGCTGCAGCAATACCCAGCTGTCTGGTGGGTTGTTTCTCTCTCTGCCGGTGCCCTTTGTTACAGCCCTCCCCTTGGTCACGGTTGGATTATAACCTTGCCAGGACCAGGACGGCATTTCCTGAAGCTTGCATTGTTCTGCAGAATACATAAGCCATGTGGCAGGTTCTGGGAGCACACTCGTTGCTGCACACCCAGAGTGCACACCATAAATGAAGCACCTGCCTGCTGGCTCCATCTTGCCGACAGCAGTGTGTTTGTTAGATGCCAGGCCGGTGGCGGTTGGTCCAGTGACCTCCTCTGGGGTGTGACAAGCAGCGACCACTAGGTGGCAGTGTGTTGTCATGTCTGGGACCAGAAAAGTCACCCAGGGATGAAAAACATGGGGGATGGGGCAGAGGTAGCAACGTCAGCTGGTTACCCAGAAAGATTAGGAGGCCCCCATCTCCTGGAGGACTTCACATGGCCGGCTCATGTGTGCGTGCGCGTGCGTGCGTGCGTGCGTGTCTGCCTGCCTGTCTGTGCTTCCCTTCACTGTAGCGAGGAGTCTAAGGCCAGGGCTTGAAGTGCAGCTGAGCTTTGCTGTGGGCCAAAGGGACAAGAATATAAAGGAGACCAGGACAGCCAGCAAAATGTGGGTAGACTATGGGGAAGGGGCTGCGGAGGTAAGAAGTGAGCTTTAGTGGGGGAAAAGGATCGCTCGGGAGAAAGACTAACAAAGGCTAGTAACAGAAAAGGGAATGAGAAGCAAGATCGGCTGGAGAAAGTAGGTTGGGAGGCTAGCGTGGGAGACGGGAGCCCCCAGTGGCTGGGAGAGACCAGAACCGTCCCCGAACAAGAGTCAGACTCCAGCGTGCTGCTGACAGGGAGTTTATTCCGGACGGACGGAGCTGCTGAGATCTGCTGGCTGCCTTAGCTCCAGGTCAGAGCGGCCTGGGCTCTGGCTCCAGCTGTGGCTCCTGCTCCAGTTCCGGCTCTGGCTCTCGCTCCTGCTCCATCTCCAGTTCTCGCTCCAGCTCCTCTGTCTTACTCGGAGCCGGAGGTGGGTGAATCCCATTCTCTAAGGCAGAAAATCTTCTCCGCAGCCACTGTGGGGAAAGATGGAAAGGGCACTGGAGGAGGAAGGAACAGGGCAAATACTGAGTTCTACTGCTTTCTTTCCAGCCTTCCCCACCTGACCCAGGGCCTTCTTTCAGCCCCTCTGAACTTCCCAGCTACAAGGTGTTCCCAGGACAGGGGCTCTGGGTCCCAGCTATAAGGTGTTCCCAGGACAGGGGCTCTGGGCCCCAGCTACAAGGTGTTCCCAGGACAGGGGCTCTGGGCCCCAGCTGCAAGGTGTTCCCAGGACAGGGGCTCTGGGAGCATATTCAGAATTGACTATAGTTGTCTTCCTCGAGGAAGGGGTCCCACACAGCACTCTGAGGTGTGAGGAGAGTGAGCTCTGTCCTTGGAGTACCTTTCTTCTCCATAGGTGGAAGCCAAAGGCCCCAGTCACCAAAAGGAACAGTGAGAAGCTACCGAGGATGAGAAGGAGAAAGAGATGGCTTCCTTTAAGGTCACCCGAGGTTCTCTTTGCACTCCGGGCACCTATGAAGAAAGCACTGGATTAGACCTAGGGTCGGTCGGAGATCAAAAAGGATACCTTACCACACCCCATCCTTTACAGACGCAGTGAGGTCGGAGAGTTTAAGGACCTTGTCCAGGATCATTCAGCTAATGAATGACAGAAATAGGTCAGGCCTGGAGAGCCTGAAGCCAGGTCCCTGACTGGGAAGGGGAAGGGGTGGGGGTAGAGGGCTTGGAAGATGACCGAGGTGGCTGCTTTGGAGCTGGGGCCATAGCATTTTAGAGCCTCAGACCTGGGCTAGACTCTGCCATGGGCAACGCCGCTCCAAGAAGCTTCTGTCCCTGATACAGCTGGCATTGCCAAGGCTCAGAAAGGAGCCTGGCCTCCTGCATCTCCAACTTGGGGCCTGGAGAACTCCTGGACGGGTTGTTCAGGGGACGCCACACAAATCTTTCTTGTCCAGATGCTGGGGTTACTTCACACAACAGCTTCCCCGGGGAGCCAGGTAACCCGAAGGATTGACGAGTCACTGAAAAATTATAGAGATGTCTCATGTCTTGACCCCTGGGTTGTTATCAAAGTTGCAATCCCACATCTCTGTCACCTTACTCTCACTGGAGATCTGGTTGGGAAAACCTCAGGGGAAGGGACCTCATAGGTCACAACTAAATTGATCCTTGGTTTGTGTCATGTTTTTGAGACAGGGTCTCATGTAGCTCAAGCTGGCCTTGAACTTACTATGTAGCCAAAGATAACTTTGAACTCCTGATTCTCCTGCCTCTACTTGGTAAGTACTGGGATTACAGGGGTGTTCCACCTGGTCACAGGAATGTATGAGTCCCTGGGTCCAGTCCCCAGCACCATACAGACTGGGTATAGATACAAGAAAATCAGAAGTTAAAGATCCACTACACATTGAATTCAAGGTCAGCTGGAGCTACATGAGATCTTGTTTTAAAAAGAAAATAAGGATGGAGAGATGCCTCAGTGGTTAAGAATACTTGCTGTTTCCTCTCTTCCAGAGGACCCAGGTTCAACTCCCAACGTCCACTTGGTAGCTCACAATCTTGTCTGTAACTCCAGATCTAGGAGACCAATGCCCTCTTCTGTTTCTGTGGACACCAGCCACAGATGTACAAGCCCGAAAAACACCCATATACATATAATAAAATACTTTTTATTGTTGTTGTTTTTTTCAGACGTGGTTTCTCTGTATAACAGCTCTGGCCTCAAACTCACAGAGATGTGCCTGCCTCTGCCTCCCAGTGCTGGGATTAAAGGCGTGTGCCACCGCCACCTGGCTTTATAAAATACAATTTTAAATAAATTAAAAAGGGAGAGATGGTTCGGCGTTTACTAAGTTCCAGAGTTTACTGTGTTTCCAGAGGACCCATATTCAGTTCACAGCACCCACGCCTGGCAGCTCCCAATCACTTGTAACGCCAGCTCCAGAAGATTCAACAGTTTCTTCTCATCTCCTTGGATACCCTGTACACATACTCACACAGAAACACACACACAGACACACAGACACACACACACACACACACACACACACACACACACACACACACACACACACAAGCTTCTTCTCTTCTGAAATGCTCAGACTCTCAATGATCAGTCAGGCGAATTAGCACCCAGTACTCCCAACAATGCCAGTCCCCTGCCTCCATCACTTTGCTCACACCGATGCCCCCATTTTGTGGTGCCTCTGAATGAACTTCATGGACCCTTCCTGAATGTTCACAGCATGAGTAATCAACTGATTGATCCACAGCAGAGCATGCTCAAAGCTGACTAGAAATAAGGTGGTGAAGGCCTTGACCCTGCTGAGCACGGCACACGTGGGGGACTTGGTGACACAGACATCCAAGTTTCAAGTTCAAAAAACCCTGAGTCTAGCATTTCCCAGTGGTACGACCTTGAGAGCACTCCTCCTCTGTAAAGCAAGAGTGACAGTGTCTCTCCCCCTGAGTAGCTGAACACACTTGATTCTTTTAGAAGACACCGGAGGGCTGGTGATTTAGAGCAGATGATAGTTACCTGGATTCTATGAAGGCCTGGGTACAATCCCCAGCACCACATAATCTGAATGTGGGGGCTGTCTGTCTATAATCCTAGCATTTGGGAAGTGACCGCAGGAGAATTAGAAATTCAAGACCATCCTCCACTATATAGTGAGGTTTAGGCCAACCTGGGCTGCCTCAGACTCTGTCGAAAGAGAAAAGAAGGAAGGAGGAAGAAGGAAGAAGAGAGGGACATTGGAGGCCAGGCATGGTGGCTCACACTCGTAATCCCAGCACTTGGAGGTAGAGGCAGAAAGATCAAGAGTTCAGGGGGCTGGAGAGATGGCACAGCTGTTAAGAGCACTGGTTGATCTTCTGCGGTCTTGGGTTCAATTCCCAGCACCCACATGGCAGCTCACAATTGTCTGTAGCTCCAATTCCAGAGGAGTTGGTACCTTCACATATATACATGCAGGCAAAACACCAATGCACATAAAATAAAAATAAATAACCTTAAGAAGGGTTAGGAATTCCAATGGACTGACAATAGACTGAGTCAGCAAAAGCTGACGGTGCAGCTGAGGGCCAGAGTCAACATAATATCTAGACAGAGTTGTAGAAGAAGTGTGTGGGATTCGGGGCTAGCATTCTAGAGAGGTGTTGTCTGTTAGTTCCTTTACTTAGTCATGCCATCAATGTTTGTCTGTTTTGAGACAGGATCTCAAGGAGCCCAGGCTGGTCTGGGACTCACTATGTACTGGAATTCCTGATCCTCTTGCCAAGTGCTGGGATCACAGCTGTGTCCCACCAAGCCTGGCTCCAGGGGACATTACTAAGTACCTACTATGTGCTTAATGGCCACAGGTGAATGCTGCAGACATAGCCAATCTGTCGTGGCTGATAGCTACCAATCAATGAACACATATTTTCGGATTTTTCTTTTGCCTGTTTTTGTTTTATATTGTCTTGGAAAAGCCTTACAAATATTTGCTGATAATGGACTGATTTATTAACTCCTTCCAAATCCAGGTCAACTCCCACAACTCTAACCAAGCCCTAGGCCAAAAGCAGACAAGAATTTGAGAATATATGCTGTCTTCTCTGGGCCATTTGAACTTTTATCATCTCTGTTTCTAGCTTCTCAGACCTCCCGCCAATTTACGGTAGGGGAGTTCCTTAGAGAAGAAGGGGGACTTTTATTTTGTGACTCAAGGGGAGACTTTCAGTTTCAGTTTTGTTTTTGTTTTGTTTTATCATGGGAGTGAAAAAAAAAAAAAAAACAGCCCATAAGCTGGGGCGTGGTGGCACACGCCTTTAGTCCCAGCACTCCGGAGACAGAGCCTGGATCTCCGAGTTCGAGGCCAGCCTGGTCTACAGAGTGAGTTCCAGGACAGCCAGGACTACACAGGGAAACCTCGCCTTGAAAAAGAAAAACAAAACAAACAACAAAAACCAGCCCATAATTTGACAGGCACAGTAGCAGTTGTCTATAATCCCAGCACTCGGAAGTGGAAGATCAGGAGTTGAAAGGTCATCCTCTAAGCTACAACAGCCTGGGCCCCATGAGAAAAGGCACTTGCCATGCAAACCTCCTGAACCCGAAGAAAGGTGGGTGGAAGGAAATGACTCCAGAGTTATCCTGCGATCTCTACCTGCGCTGAGGAACATGCACCCATCATGTGCGCATACGCACACGCACACAGATACACAGACACTCTCTCTCTCTCTCTCTCTCTCTCTCTCTCTCTCTCTCTCTCTCTCTTTCTCTCTCTCTCAAATAAAACTTAAGAAGTTTACAGTTTGAGATGACCTAGCATCATGGAATACATATGCACAGTCTCTGACCAGCCAACACTCCCACCCTGTCCTCTGAAACGCATGCTCTTCCTTTCCCACCTGTGGCTGACCTGTGATGACTGCCACAGTGACCGTGGTGCTGAGCCACTGTCCCTGCAGGTCGATGCCACAGCTGTAGGTCCCAGCCTGCTCCAGACCCACGGCCTCAAGGTGAAGGGTAAAATTGCCATTCTTTCCAGCCACCAGACGCTCAGGGCCTCCCCCAGGAGGAGTCCACTTGGCCATGAGTGAAGAAGAGGTCCCCACACCAGGGGGCAAGTGACAAGGCAGCTCCACCCTAGAACCTGCAGCAGCGTACACCGTCAAAGGAGCCAGGGGCTCTAGACCTGGAGGAAAAAGGAGAGCCAACATCAATGCCCAGGGGTGGGTATGCAGTGGGATAGAGGGCGGGAACGTGAGGAAGGGCGGCAGAGGGTGATGGAGGTACTTTGGCGTACAAAGAGACAGAACAAAGCAGAGGGACCAGGGAAACTGGAAAACCCATACTGTGCTGGAGAGCAGAGGCTACCAGAAGGATGGGCAGCCAAGGAAAAACTGCAGTGAGAGGCCACAGCGGAAGACTCCCACAGCGGAAAGGGTTTGGACCCTGAGACATCGCAGCTGAGAACCTGTTTTGGGGGGCCCATGAGTCAGGCGAAGTGGGGGGGCAGGAAGGGGTTGTGGTCAAGAGTAAAGACAGCTTGGGAGAGTTACCCAGAACCTTGAGGTTGTATGTAATGGAGACATTGAAGCCATCTCTGTAGGTGAGGACACAGCGCCAGATCCCAGAGTCCAGGGGACGGACTTGGGGCAGAAAGAGGAAACTTTCAGCTAAGTAGCGATGGGAGGACTTGGGGACGGGAACTCGGCTCCGGCCCTGGAACCAGTGCACTGAGACTGGGCGGTCAGGGCGACTGAAGGAGCAGTTCAAAACGACCCAATCAGATGGCCTGAGGGGTCCTGGGGGATAGGCGATCACTGTGAGAAAGTAAAAAAGGACCAATCAGTCCACTAGAGGAAAGCACTTTCTCAACGCAGCCAGCCAGACTAAGCTGAAAACTCAGGGAAACAGGGACGTTGTGTTCGGATTCTCCGTCCAGCCTCCCATTCCAACCCCCAACTTGAAACCTGGGGTTGCTTAACAAGAGACCTGGGACTCCCCTCCGCTTCCTCCTGCCTTCACTTTACTTGGCCTGTTCTTTGGGCAGACCTTGCCTGAGGATGAGCTACGGATGTCTTAAATGAATCACTCTAGACCCCCGAAGAAGAGGTGCTGCCCCACCTCTACCTCCAACAGGGAGGGCGCTCCCGCTGTAGGTGGGGGGAAGGGAGCTGAGGTGTGTGATACAATTTCTCCGTAGCCCCCTCACCCCCGCCTAGAGGCATGCATTTCAGAGGGGCACTTTCCACCCTGCCATCAAGCGGCCACCCCTTCTCGAAGACTTCGGGAGGCCCAGGTCTAAAGCACCGCCCTTGCAAGCCACGGCTCTTCCTGTCTCGGGGTGACAGGGACCTGCTTCCCAGCCCTTCTCCCTTTGTCCCGCCCCACCTACTCGAGGCCTGGCCGACGCGCAGGCGGAGATGGCAGGAGAGGGTGCGGTCCGGGAAGCGCACCACGGCGTGGTACCCGCCAGCGTCGGCGCGCAGGGCTGGGCGCAACCACAGCGAGAAGTCCCCGCGCTGGAGGCCGCGCTCCTCCAGCTGCACGCGGGGATGCATGGGCAGCCTCCCGCTGCGCAGGCCTCCTGGAGCCACGCTCAGGATCGTGTAGGGATGACGGGGTGCAGGCCTCCCAGGCGAGGGCATCCTCCCCTTGAGGTCAAAGGCAGGGGTGGGAGCGCGTTGGCCACTGTCGCGGGGAGGGAGACAAGGCTTGAGAAATTCCGGGGCAATTTGAAAAAGCCATAAAGAAGATGCACTCCAAACACACTCTGGGGATAACGCAACATGCCTAGGAGAGCGCTTGACCCTTAGCGGCCGCCCTCCACCCCCCAACCACCCCTGTCCCCCCTCCCATCTGCTACTGGAGAGGCGGCCGACTAGGGACCTCAGAGGGACTCACAGAGGTGACAATACTGGCTTGGATGGGTTTTTTTTTTTTCAGAATGCCATTAGAACCAGATTGGGAGGCTCTGTCGCCCAACTTTGGGGTGCATACCCATCTGGTTGATGTTGCCAAGTAACCCCTCCTCTTCGCAGAAAGCTGAGATTCCTGTGGGGGAGTTGAGGGCTGCAAGGAAGCTGGACAGGAGTGCCCTCCTGGGCCCACACCACGGAGTCCTCTTTTCCAGGCTCTGAAGCCACGACTATGGAGCAAAAGAGAGGTCAAGGGCTATGAGCCAAGAGATTGGAAAATAGAGAAAGGACTTGGCGTTCCCAAGAGAGAAATATCATTCCTCCCTGTCAGGGGAGACTGAGGCGGCTTTGGGGTTGGAAGGACTGCCCTTAAAAAAGGCATGAGGCACCATCACAAAGCTAGAGAGACGGGCCATAATGGTCCCTGCTGGCTTCTCCCGAGCTCCCCATCTTACCTGGAGCTTCCCAAAGCAGCCGCAGAAGCAATAGGCCTCGGAGCAGGGCCTCCCTCATCTCCTCTATGGCCGGGGCCTCCCTAACCCTCCAAGGGAGGTCAGAAAGGGGTCCTGGGAGGAAAAAAGAGAAGTTCTACAAGGAGGGAGGAGAGGCAGAGAGAAAGAATGTACGGTGAAGAAGACCACGGGGGCGGGGGGGTGGGGTGTCTGGAGAGGGGGCAGGAGGACCAATGGCCAGAAACCAAAGAAAGCTGGCTAGATGAGGGGCAAGGGGGGGGGACACACCCCTAGGACAGGGCAGGGCTGGGGCAGAAAGCAGAGTGGAGGCAAGGCCACCTCAGTGAGCTGGGATGCTGATCTGCTCCTCTGGCCCCAGTCCTTCCCCACTTCCCCTCCCCACTGCCCGCCCCCCAGCCAGGGCTCGGGGTTTCGATTCGCAGTGGAAAGTGTGAGGGGGGCTGATTCCCAGCAGCAGAGCCCTCCGGCTCTGTTGTGGCACTCCCTTGTTTACTTCCTCAGACTCGGGTCTCCCCACCGCCCCCTCTTCCACCTCTTCCCCCTCTGTCCTCTCTTCTCTCTCCTCTCTTCTCTTCTCTTCTCCTCTCTCTCTCTCTCTCTCTCTGGGTTCTCTTCCTAGAATTACGACTGTATCGACTATATCTCAAAGCTGCCCCCTATGTCCCCACAGTCACACTTTCTTCCTGACAGGCTCTTTCCCGTTAACTTCCCAAGAACTTTGTTGCCTGCCTAGCTGTTCAGGATCTCCTGGACAGGCACACAGGAAGTATTACCATACCACAAGTTAGCAGATCTGAGGAAGGGCTTGGTGGCAGAGCATAGTGGCTACAAGGTGTCAATCTTCATTCTCTGCTACTTATGGTATTATACATTTTTCCATAAAGCAACTTGTGAAAACGCAGACGAGGAAGCTGAGGGTCACAGGCATTAAGTAACTTGCCTAGGTTAGGGGTCATGAAGGCATGTCCCAGTCCTAACCTTATTTGCATTATAGAGTGACTTTTCATCTTCTAGGAAGGGGGTAACAATGGGGTATTTGTTTTAAAGATTTATTTCTATTTATGTGTCTGTGTACCTGAATTCTGCCTGTGTATGAATGCCCAGAGGCCTGAAGAGGGTGTCAAATTCCTTGGAACTGCAGTTACAGGTGGCTTGTGAGCTGCCCAATCTGGATGCAGGTCTTCTGGAAGAACAGCTAGTACCAACAACTGCTGGGGTCATCAGATAGTTATCTCTCCAGCCCTGCCGATTGTGGTGATATTTTGTGTATGCTCTAACAAATAAAGCTTGCCTGAAGATCAGAAGGCAAAGCCAGCTACTAGTTAGCCTTAGAGGCCAGGCAGTGGTGGCTCACACCTTTAATTCCAGCACTTGGGATTCTTATGCCTTTGCTCCCAGTACTTGGGAGGCACACATGCCTTTAATCCCAGCACTAAGGAGGTTGAGACAGGAAGTGATATGGCTGGGCAGAGAGAGGAATATAAGGCAGGAGGAGACAGGAGCTTTTTTTTCCAGTTGAGGAGTTGGTGAAGTTACAGGTGGCCACGGCTTGTTCCTTTGTCTCTGATCTTTCAGAATTTACCCCAATATCTAGCTCTGGGTTTTTATTATGAAGACCAATTAAGATTTATGCAACAAGCTGGGCGGTGGTGGCGCAAGCCTTTAATCCCAGCACTCGGGAGGCAGAACCAGGCGGATCTCTGTGAGTTCGAGGCCAGCCTAGGCTACCAAGTGAGTTCCAGGAAAGGCGCAAAGCTACACAGAGAAACCCTGTCTCGAAAAACAAAAAAAACAAAAACAAAAAAAAAATTGTGCTACAGACAACAGGATACTTCACCATCTTCAAAGTTCCCCTCACCTAAAGATTCTGTACTAAAAAATGAAGGGAAGGGTTTATGGAGACGGAATAATGCAGAAATATTGTAGCAGAGCAAACTCAAGAAAAACTCGAGTCAGGAATGGTGTTACTTAACTGTATGTAATCCCAGATTTTGGAAGGTGGGAGTAGGCTGTGAATTTCAGGCTTGCTTGGACTACCTAGTGAATTCAGGGTCATCGTGGGCTACAAGGTATACCCTGTGTCAACAACATTACCACCAAAAAACCATTATCCCAGCACTTGGAAGTCAGAGGCAGGCAGTTGTCTGTGAATTGAGTCAGCCAGGGTTGCACAGTGAGATCGTCTGAAAACTGAGGCAGATGGGCTGGAGGACTCCTGACAACCCTGGCTCCCCAGCTCTGCCCAGCTGACTCGTGACAAGGAGACAGACCTGCAAGTAACTCTTGACTTAAGAGGACCCTGCTTCCCACATGTCAAAACTTGGTAGTTCTCTTTCCAAACCCTAGGTTGAGACCCAAGCCAACCAGCCTCTTCCACTTCTGGGCACATGTCAAAACATGTCCATGCTTGGTAGTTCTCTTTCCAAACCCTAGGTTGAGACCCAAGCCTACCAGCCTCTTCCACTTCTGGGCGGGACTTCCTGTTTCTAGAGCTGTTTCTATCTGCCTGGTTCAGCACAAAGGAGCTGGTAGCTTTCCACTGGGCTCAGCAGAGTCTAGATCTTGTGTGGGTTAACATAGAGTACATTGCTGAGGTGAACATCCCCAGGAACCCAAAACAGGTCACAAGTCACACCCAGAGGAAGACCTCAGGCTCCCAGGTCACCCCTGGAGGGCCGGCCGTGTCTTCTATCATTTGGGTATGAGGTCAGCCACCCCTTCTCCATCCTTTCAGGCACTGAGTGGACTCTGGGAAATCAGGAGACAGGTTAAAAACAGAAGCGCGACCGTTTCTTTATTAAATTATACAAAAAGGGGAGGGGGGCAGCTTCGGGGCTTGGCCCCAACCCCGGCCCCACCCCGGCCTGGCGCTGTCTGAGAGGAGGGAATCTGAGGGAGACCCAGGGATCAGGCAGGAGAGAGAAGAAGGGCAGGCTGAGAGGCGGGGGGTGCCGAGGGTAAGGAGAGGCTTTGCAAGGACAGATGGGATGGTGAGGGGGAGTGAAGGACAAGGAATGCTAGGGGACAAGTGAGGGCCGGCTGGGGAGCTCAGGTGAGGCGGATCGGGAGCTGGAAGGATGGCAGTGAGGGTGAAGGAGCAGTGTCTGGAGATGGAAATGAGAGGCTGGGTGGAAGGGCAAGGGTCACAGCTCTGGGGTAGGGCCAGAGCAGGGAGCCAGGAGACGCGGGGCTGTACTTGTGTGTTCCTGCCCCACCTCCAGGACCTGAGGGGCCTCCCATCCCCAAGCCCACTGGCAGGGGCTCATGCCGATGCCCCATTTTCTGTCTTCTGCCTCTTGGGATCTGCTTCATCCTGTGGAAAGGATAAGAGTTGAGGGAGCTGTACAAAGGAGACCTCCCCCTGTTCCTGCTGGCCCTGCTCTGCCCCTGCCTGGGCCACCACAAGGACCTGGGTCCATATCCAAAGGGCACCCAGCCCCTGCTATATTCCTGACAGCCCCTCAGGTCCCCACCCGGTCAGACCTCCTCTTCAGCAGCTCTCTTCCGCACTGGGCCTTCATCCTCCTCCTCCTCTTCTTCCTCATCTGAGGAGCCAGAAACAAGTCATTGGGGCAGGATGGGAGGCTCCGGGCACAGACCCACAACCGCCCTGTGGTTACCCTCAGCCCGGCTGCTGGTCTTCAACTGCTCCCCAACTCTGCTCCTTTGAGCCTCAACTCTTCCAGCTCAGCCTTCCCTGCCCCTCCCTACCTTCTTCATCTCCTTCATCATCATCCTCTCCATCCTCGGCAGTTTCTTCTTCTTCCTCCTCAGCTCCATTCTCCTCCTCCTGTGGGGACCAAGGCAGGCAGCGAGCGCTGTCAGGCTGGCTGTGTTACCACACACTGGGTGATGAAAGGACTCAGGGTAGGGAAGGAATGACGGGGGACCAGGAGAAAGGCAGGACCCCAACATCCCCAGGAAGGTAGGAAGAGGGGGGAAGGATGTTGGGGCAGAGTGGGGCCGTTTCCACACCTCCACTACTTCTTTCTTTCGTTCTTTCCGGCCAGCCTTCTCCTCCACTTTCTCCTTCTTTTCCTTCAGGTCCTGCAAGGCAGAAGGTCACCTTCCTCTCAGGACTAATGATGCACAGCCCTCGAGTCCCCCAGCCCGTTTCTCCAACTCTGCAGCTAGGTCGAAGGTGCTCAGTGAAGGTGGCCACAGTTTAAGGTACAACAGACATGCTCAGGTCCTCCGATTTGGGCCCTAACTGGCTGATCCCAGAGACTTTCTTCCTCAAGACCCAAGGGGAGCAAGCAGTAACTGAGGCTCCCACACCATGGAGTTCTTCCACCCGCCCGCTCGCCCCCCAGCTTAAGAGTTCAGCTCCACAAAGCAAATCCCCCATCTGCTGGCAGCCTGGATGCCCCACCCCCTCACCCTCTCTGCTTGCCCCGCTCTGCCTTTTGTCTACCTCAGGGGCCTTTGCCTAAGTACTCTCTCCCCTGGGCATCCCTCCCAGCGGCGTCCCCTTCAGCTCCTAAGGCCTTTGTTTCCTGTCGGTGTCTCCCTAATCCTCCTGTTCCTACTTGGCCCAAGAGCACAGGGATATGAAGATCACCCTCGCGTATTCCCACGGCGGTGCCTATCCCCAAAAGAAACAGTTTCGTATCCCCTCCTCTCCACCTTCATGCATATGCCCTGGGACGGCAGAAGCGTAGAAGTGGCCATTTTCAGTGGAAATAAAGGGGAAGTCCGGTAAAGGAAACACGCAGAAGGCGACGAAATCACAACAAATAAAGTCTGTGCCTGGATGGAAGGTGGGAGTTACCTGTCCGGAGTCCCCTCCCACCAGACTGTCCTCCCCTTCACTCCAAGATGCCAGCAGGTGCTGAAAGTCCTATCCTGACAGAGGGAGATGCTCCTGTGGGTAAGCCCGGCTGGACAAACCAGCCTCCCCGCCCCATGCAGATTCTACTTTTCTCCCTATCACACTCCTTGGCAGGTGCCACATTCTATGATCTTATCTAATGTTAGTATGCAACTCTAGTGTGCATGATCCCAAGTGGGTCGGAGTTTTCCTAAGTAGATCACCCCAGAACGATGTGTCCTTTCTAGAACAAGACTAGGGTAGAGGAGGGACTTGGTGCCAAACGACTGGCCTGAGGACACTGGGCGCTCTTCTCCCTGTAGGAGAGCAGAGTGCAAGGGCACTTGACCCTCTCGCTCCAGGCAGGTTTCCTCTGCACTCCGCTTGGTCGTCACTGCTGTCACATGGTGGGTCTGGCGCTCGCTCGTACTACCAGGTGAGCTTTGCCTTACATCCTGCGCCAGGCAGGGACTAACTCAGCTTTGGCCTGAGTTTCCCATCGGGGTTGATGGACGGGTGAGGGGAAGGGAGGGCGAATACCAGAGACCAAAGTCCGCAGGGCTGGCCCCCCTCCTCCTGGGTCCTGTCCTTCTGGTCACTGTCCTTCCATGATCTCTTTTCCAGGAGGGTATGTGACCTGCCCCCAGTGCTAAGCTGCTCTCTGGCCTCTTCACGGGTACACAAGCTCATACAGGCTAACACCAACTCACACGTCTACAGGGGAGCGCCCACGCGCTCTAGAGACACATGGCCCAATGTTTGGGCATTCTGGCACACTCTCACAGGGGCACTGTGGAGCCATTCGGCACTCACAAAGCGGCAACATGCCTCCGGAACATCTCAGTCTCCACATGCACACATGTAACTGACACGGGCAGTCCCACACACTCGCTGGATCTCAGACATACAAAGACGCCTACTCAGTGAAGTCACATGCCGCCGCACAACCCACCGGAGGGCCACACAGGCGCACCTTGTCAGATCTCACATGTCCCCTCTCCCACTGCCTTTCATGCTATTAGATCCCCCACCTTCCACTCGAGGCTCCAGAACTATACTGCCCTCCCCCCTAAAAAAAGACTGGGCTCCCAGCCCCCAAGCCTGGCCGCATTAATTTCCCTAAGCGACACTCGGCAGTTTCCCTGGGGAAATTAGAGGGAGGCTGGGAAAGAGACAAGGGCAAAGGGATGCGGCCAGGAAAGGCAGCTGCTGAGTGCAAAGACAGCCTGACGTATGGTCAGGCGATGCCGAGCTTCGGCTTTTTCGAAGGCGATTCTCTCCACCTTTCTGGTTTTTTTAGGAATTCGACATGAGGAGAAACGAAAAAGAGAAAACCGAAAGTCGGTGGTGGAGGGAGAACGGATGAGGACGGGCAGAAAAGAGGGTGCAGGAGAGGCGCAGCCCTCCGGGGACGAGCACAGACGGTCGGGCCGCGAGGGGAGGGGCCGAGGAGCAGCCTCCCCGGAGAGTCCTGTTTACACTTGAGGATCGCAAACCGCTTAGCAGAGGAAAGGTGAGGTCACAGTGGAAAGGGACCTGGAGCCGCGGCACGGACACCCGGCCCGGGAGGCGAGACGCGCCGCCCTCCGACGACGGGAGGGCGGACCGGGCCGCGGCGGGCGGGCGCGGCGGGGCACGAGAGGGGTGGGGATGGCGGGGCCGGGCGGCGAGGCCCGAGCCACCGCGCGCTGCGCCGCTAGAGGGCGCTGGCGGCGCCGAGCGGGGTAGGCAGCGCCGGGCTCCGAGCGGGGGGGGAGGGCGCAGCGGGGTCCGCGGGGACCTGGCGCCGGGGCCGCTCGGGGCCGTCGGGGACGACCGGGCGCGAACGACCGCGCCGATCGCGGGGCCGCCCGGGTGCCGGGCTGCCGCCGCCGCCGCCGCCGCCCCTGCCCGTACCTTGGCGCTCAGCTCGGCCGCTGCCTCCACGCTCTTCTCCGACATGGTGCCGGGGCCGGGGCTGGCGGGGAGCCGGGGTCCCGGGGCCGAGGCAGAGGGGCCCTGGACGGCGGAGGGTGGCCGCGGCCGGAACTTGGCGCGGTGGCGGCGGCGGCGGCAGCGGCAGCGACGGCCGCTCGGCAAGCTGGCTCGCTGCAAGAGGCGGCAGAGGCGCGCGGGGTGGGGCGGGGGTGGGTCCCGAGCCGAGACCCGCAGGGCTGCGGCCGTCCGGAGGGCGGGCGGGCGGGCGGGTGATGCGGGCGGTGGCCGGCGCGCTCCGGTCGCGGTCGCTCGGTCTTGCTCGCCGCCCCCGCACCAGCAGAGCTGCCGCCGACCAGCCGCTGCCGCCCCCGGGAAGGGAACCCGCTTTTAAGGCGGCGCTGCCCGACGGGAGGGGCTTCCCAGGGGTGGGGCAGGCGGGAGCGGGGAGGAGAGGAGAGGGGAGGGGGATGAAAGAGGAGGTTGGAGAGGTGGGGATAGGAGGATGAAAGCGAAGGGCGGGAGAGCGAGCGGGGCGGGAAGAAGGACGAGACCGGGAGGGGGAAATGGAGAGACTGACGGCCCGGGAGAAAGCGGAGTGGGGCGAGGAGGTGGGAAGGGGTGGGGTTCCAGCGGGGAGACACCGCTCCAAATGCCAGCCTACTGCTTGCGAGCTGGAGTCTGGCTCCTGGGGGCGGACTGGAGAGGTGGCCAGGCTCCTGCTGACCTCCTCACAGCCCTGAAATTTTGCTAAAGGGCTGGGGGGAGGCGGGGCGGGCAGATGGAGAGGCTGGGCAGGTATTTGAGAAACCAAAAGCTTAAAGAAGGGGAAGAAGGCTGCCGAGCCACTACCATTTCTCCCTCGTGTCCGCTTTCTCTCGGTGGCATTGAGGAGAAAAGGGACAGTGCAAAGGACAACAGCC